TAAGGAAAAATACATATTTTACTAATTATAATTAGTAAAAAATTTAAGCGTTGCATTATTTTTGATTGCCACTGTATTTTCTGATAAATCTAATAAATTAATATAATTCAGTTTGATAAAAAATAATTTTTTAAATTTAATTTTCTTAAAAATAAAATTTTTTGTTCTTTTTTATTTAAAATTTTTTTAATATTTCGCTTATTTAGCTTGGTATTTAAATTTTAATGCTGTTAACAATATATACTAGAATTTTGTATATATAAGTTTTTAGATATTAAATAAAATATTTTTTATATTGAGAATATGTATTTGATCTATATCAAGAGCAAATTTACTGTAAACTTTTGAAATTAGATAATAATAAGAGCAGTACTCACCTTTTTATCTACAGAATAGCGAAAAGTTTGTATAGGTAAAGAATAGGTACAATCTACGTATAAGGTTTATTAAACCAGTAATCATAATTTTTAGAAGGATTACATGAAAATATGAAAATTCAATTAATCTTTCACAGAAGCTTAGAGGGCAAGCGATTGCTGAAAGTTCAAAGATAATATAGTGGATTATCGAATACGCGTGAATTAAGGTTTGGCTCGGGGTTCAGGAGATGGTCAAAGTAAAGTTTTAGGTTTCGATTGATGTCATTCATTTTTCACGTTTTCTATATAATGGGTTATATATTATGATTTTTAGTTGCGACGCATTCATTTTGACATTATTTATTGCCTAAAAAAAATCAATAAATTCAAAAATGCATGAAGCAGGTCTAGAAAAAATGTTTTTGTCTGCGATGAAAATTAATAAATACATGTTCGTGAAATAAAACATAGCATATGCCTCTTTTATTTACGTGGAACACTTTTGAATTAATCTGATTGGTTAAAGAAGTGTCACGAAACAACAGCAATAGAGAGTAGAGTAATACACCAATGGAAGTGTAGAGCAACGAATCAAACATCGAATACCATTCATCAAAAAAGAAACACGCAGAAGTTATACAAAAAGGAAGACTGAATGCAACACATATTGTCTTTTGTGTGTATGTAAGGCTTTGTACACAACGCCTTTTTGTCATAATGTATATGCTCTTTTTTTCCCTTGCCATCATTATCATCATCATCATCATCAACATCATCATTGATATCACAACAAACGTGATTCCTGTTATTAGCAACCATTAACAAGAAACGAGGAGAAATAAGTTTTGGAGCACATATTATTCTGGTTTATCATGATGATTATGATAATAAATTATTTGAATTATTATGCAGGAGTTGTGGTTGCAGATTTGAATTGTTCGAGCACAGTCACAAGTTTTATATCACACTCTGTTACTTATTTGGCTGGTCATCTCCGCTCTTCTTCGCTCCTCCTTTTATCGAGAGATTTCGTGGTATAAAATAATATTTATCATATTTTCGTTCATCAAAAATTTTAATTTTCTGTCGTTCTGCGAATTACAGAAATCATTTAAAGAATAGAGGCAATTAAAAAGAGTGATTTCTAATAATAACAAAAGAATTTTGCTTCATTATTAATAGAATTATTTATTTATTAATTAATAATAATTTAATAAACAAATCCACCACATCTTTCTTTTTATTTATTACTTCATTCCCATTGACAATTCTTTATTAATTTCATTTCATTTCCCAATAAATCATTAAATCATTCTTCTTCACTGTTTTTCTTACCGCATTCTTCAAACTCGTTTCGCCCTCTTTTCTTTGATCAGAGACACCGACATAACGAAAGCGACTAACGAATTTGATTTAACATGAATATATCCATCTAACAAAACTAAACATGTTTCTTCTCCTGCTTTCATTATATAATTTTTATTAGAGGAAAACACATTAGATTATATTAATTATTTATTTATTCTCGTTAGCGTCGGCGTGTGTGATCAACACCTTCTTTTTGTACCCACCAGTCAATAATTTTTATATTATAGTAATAATAATAATAATAATAATAATTATTATTATTATTATTATTATAATAAATAATAATAAACAAATTAAGAGACAACCTTTTCCAAACCCTAAACCCGAAAGAGGCTCTTGAATCCCCACCAACTCTCCTGTAATAAATAAAATTACAATAAAGAATTATATACTGTACTATTAAATAAACAACGTAAAGTGGCAGAGATACATATACACCAACCACCACCGTCCATCCATAAAAGACTACTTTAATTACCAGCCACAAACTTCAAATACCATATCATATTTTCTTTTTCTTTCCCGTTCCTTTCTTCTTTTTTTCTCTTTTCAATCATCCTTTAACTTTATTTATATCTAATTTCACATTTTTTTATCAGTTATTATTCTCTTTTTCTGTCTTTCTTTCAGTTCAAAATAATAATAAAGTAAGAAGATAAAAAAAGAGTGTCTCTAATATAGTAATAATAATAAGAATAATAATAATAATAATAATAATAATAATAATAGTCTAATAATAATACTACCACTAATTTAATCCGTAAAAATTCCGTCTGTCGAAATCAGTTTGTTTCTTAAAAAGGTTGGTTTATTTACATTCTAGTTATATGTTTATGTTTTACTTTTTATTCCAATATTCTATCGAACATTGTGCGATAGAATAGTTACTTTACCACTACATCACTATTATTCTTATTCTTATTATTATTATAACGTACCAATATTCTGACCAACAAAAAAAGACTCATCTTGGAATTAAACTATTTTCTAGGTTATACAATAGTTGAAATACTTCACAATCAAGAGAATTTCATTGAATCACGAAACAATAAACGCATAATGGGTGCTCAACTTACAAAAGAGCAAGCACAGTTGCCGTTCGGTTATGTATCAAAGAAATCGGGGCGAAGTCGTCGCATTGGAGCATTAAAAACATCATCAGTACAACCAAATGCTCATCTATCACCTGACTCACCTGTAACCTTACATAGTGATCATTACGAGATGAATAATAATAACAGCAACAACAACAACAACAATAATAATAATAATCATTCTCGTAATGTTGAGACTGCTTCGATGTATACGACTGCTACCGATGTGATAACACCCGAAATTGTAACCGTAGATAATAAATCTTTAGAAGATCAACCACAAACTCGTCGTCATTCACGACAAGATGAATATGAAATATCAAGTGAAATAACTCATCGACGTTCTTGTTGTTATTCCAATAGTGGCGATGAAGAAGATGATGATGATATAATACTTGAAGAACGTCATCCTCGTCGTCGTCATCATCAGCAATACGAGAATCTAAGCAAAATACATTTCAGTGATTTACCAAGTCTGACTAAGATTGGATTGTGTCAACTTGGATTGGTGAAATTAAGTTCAAATATTTGTTATTTATACGCTACTGTCTCGCTACAAATGCAAGTATTTTTTTTATTTTTATTTTTATTTTCCCATTTGAATTCGAAGAGATGAATTTGAACAATGTCTAATGATCTTCTTTTTATTAATAACAGTTGTTGTAATGAATTGACTTCGATACCAGCGGAAATAGGATACATGAAGAATCTTGAGCAACTTGATATATGTAAAAATCGGTTAACTAGTATTCCGGATACAATTGGATTTTTGCACAAGTTACAGGAATTAAAGTTATCCGAGAATCAATTGACCTCCATACCAGCCTCGATCGAGTCACTCAAGAAACTTGGTACTCTCTATCTCGATTCCAACAGAATTACTGAATTGCCACCCGAAATTGGACAAATAAAAACACTCGTTAATCTTGATGTTAGCGAAAATCCAATCAGTGTTTTACCAGCGGAAATCGGGCGTCTCCAATATCTTCGTAAACTAAGGATTGATCGTTGTCCCTTGCTTACGGAATTTGTACATGAGATTGTTCATTCACCACCCTCATTAATGGAACTTGCCGCGCGTACTATAGTGCGTAAACAGATCCCCATACTACAGGATACTACTCAAGATATTAAAGACTATCTTGCTAGTGCGAAAAAGTGTAGTTTCTGCGGTGGTCCTTATTTTGAAAGTTATGTCAAAAGAGGGAAAATAATTGAGAAGAATGATCATCAGATTCCATTGGAATACCGTTTATGCTGTCCGCATTGGAATACGGAACAAGAACGAGTTAGCCTATTATTTTGTCCTTTGCCTGACACTGCACCCGATGCAGAACCATACAAACATCCACGTCATCCCGGAATTAACGATGATTCATCGTCACTATCCTCGAGCAGTGACGTAGGTGACAGCAGTGATTCACAAATTAGAATCCAACGAAGCGCTTCATCTCGATCGCTTTTTGTCCCACTAAGCTCAATAACAAAGTCACCATCACTTCCAAATTTACCAAAATCATCTTCGGCTGCTTCCAAATCTTCTGTGGACCATGCACAACAACAGCAACAGCAGCAACAGCAGCAGCAGCAACAGCAGCAGCAACAACAACGACAACAACAGCAGCAGCAACAGCAACAGCAACAACAATCACCGCAACAACAGTCAGAAGATAATAAAACTGTCTCAATGAAAAACAATTCCTTTAAACGAAGTAGTATAATATTATGGAGATCAAGAAAAAATAGTGCTGCATCAATATTCTTGAGTAAAACAACACCGCCCACACGAAATAATTCAACTAATTCCAGAGTTAGTTCTCGATTTCGTTTATAAAAATATTCAATATAAAAATCAATATTGATGAATAGTAGAGAAAAATGAAAAAACATGGCGTCATCGTTTAATTGCCAGGACGAAGAAGATAGTCGATGACGATGACTATAGCTTTTGAAGTTGCATTGATGGGTGATCAAGCTTCTCTTTTTATTATTCACATTATAATTATAAACATAATCATTATTCTTCATTCTTATTAATAGTAAGAGTAAACGAAGGGATATCTCTTTGTTTTCTTTGGTCGATGGGATGGACATTTATTTATTATTATGATGATTATTATTATTATCATTATTATTATTATTCGTTGATGGGAGCAATGCATACGCAAGAACAAGCATACACACACACATACGCATACATGCGAAAAAGATTAGCAATCGTAGTATTCTGTAAGAAAGAAAGTGTACATATATTTTATCCTTTATCCTTCCTTGACAGACACTACAAGACCAATAACCTCTTCTCCTCCGCCTCATCGCTAACTTGTCCTTTCTCTGTCTCTTCTCTTCTAAATCTCGAGACAAGTGATGAAATTGTTCTTCATTCTATTTCATAATTTCTATTAACCTCCCCTCTTAATTTATAATTTTTTTTGTATAATCTCTATTTTATTTTATCTTTATTTTTATTATATTCCTAACAACACACGCGCACACATAAAATTCTCATAAATACACACACACACACACACACACACACACACACACACACACAAATCAGCCAATTAACAGAAAATGCAAGTAGTATTTACATATCATAGTTGCCGTGCTCTCATCAACATCAAAGTCACTTAGAGAGATTACCCAATCTCCCCCCTCACAAATTAGTACGCGCAGGACGCGGCAGACATCCTTTGACGCTTGTAACAATAGTTTATTCATCCATCATTATTCTGGTTAATTTTGCTGCTATTTATTGGAGAGATTGTTATTCGAGTCCACATTTCTGTTTATACACATACACACACAAAACATGTCATCATCTCCACATCCTCCCACCTTTTCCGTCATTATTAAATTACACACTCTTTTATATACATATATACATATATACATATATATATATATAAAATATTGATTTTTAATAAACTCTCCAATATCATTTCGCAAGTATTGCGAATCGAAGAGTTTGACATTCTTTTAAAGGAAAAAATATCTCGGACCTTGTCTCATTCACCAAATTAACCTTGTCCTATTTATCAAATTAACCCCCTGTCCTATTCATCAAATTCATGTGTATGTGTGTATTAGTATCTACATGATTGTGCTTGGTTTCTACACATTAATCTCTCTGATTTTCAGTCCATCAAAAATAGTGGAGTCGGAAATCCATTCCCTCTCTCTCTCTGTGTGTGTGTGTGTGTGTGTGTGCATGAGAAATTTGTGCACATAATCATCCACATCTTTTTAAACCGAAAACGCGCACTCTTGAGAACAAAAAACTTCCCCCCCCCCCCCTTTTTGATAGAAAGAAATAAATCAAAAAACATGTATGTATGCTCGTAATAAAAATCTCCCGTGTATATATGCGTTTTTTGATTTAGTTCTTTTTGAATAAACCATCGTTTTACTTTCACTCTTTAAGTTTAATTGATACATCGTTTTTTGATCTCTTCCCCTTTACCCATCCTTCTGTCTTTCCTTCCATAAATAATATACATCGTACATAATATTTATACATATATTTTATATACACACACATTCTTTTGTTATTTATTACCTCAAAAAATTCGAACATCAATGCGCAAAGTAAAATGTGATGAGAGTAGCGAGTGTCTCATTTGATTTCTTTTTTTCAGGAAAAAAGACTACATCCAACTTCTTTTTTCGAAAAAAATTGATCTTTCTGCTATTTCTGCCATCAACCATAGTAGCTTTCGTAACTAATCTTTTTTTATCTTTATATTTCTATTCACTTTACTACTATTATTATTGCTATTTTCCATTATCATTACATATACCTCAAACAAAAATTTTAAACTAAAAAATCCATCTTTCTTTATTATAAACATCACCAATAACAACAAAATATGCGATGGAATATCTATTATATACAAAATAAAAACAAGCTATAATTCTACCTTGAAATTCAAAATCCCTGTATAAATCTTCTCTTTATTTCTTCATCATCCAGGATGGAGCGAAATGTTTACTTATTTATAGATCATCATAATAATATTTTGAGTTTTTTGAACATCTAGATAGTAAATCTCTATAATTATTAGCTATTATTACATTTGAAAATCATCCTTAAAAATATTATCATCATCATCATCATCATTATCATCTGTTGTATATCGCTCGGGTAGCGGGATTACTTCTCTTTCTCTTACTCGTACACATTCTAACATTTCAAAAATCCATTTTCCGTCTCTTTGTAGTATATAACCAAAAATAGTAAATAATATAGTAGTAAATATCAGTCTTTTATGAAAATGGTTTTTCGTTGATCGTTTTGGCCAAAAAAATAGGTTTCGAGATAATACTTAAATCCTATTATGTCATGTGATTGTCGCTATTCTTGCTTTTTATGAGCTTTATTTTTTGGAGACTCTGTTATGATCTATTTGATTTTATCTCTATATAAGCAAGAAGATAGCTATTAGATCGATCTTACCAACTTAAGAAAAAACTATCTCAACTTGAGAAAACTATACCAAAATAACAATAATATACACGGAAAAAGTTACATAAATTTATGAACACGAATAACAACAATGATAATGATGCTTCTATAATGATGTTCGTCCCAAAGAAAAATATTTAGTTAAGATTCTATTTTGAATTCAACACCACCAACCTTTACCCGATCTTGCTCAGAGCTCCTTGATTTTTTTACAACATTATTGTTATTACTATTGCTATCATTCCCAACAGCTGACGAAGAATTATTCACTGTCTCATTATTACTCTCCATAGCTATGCGTTTCTTTAATCTCCTTATAGAACTTCGCCGTATACGAATATTAAATGCGGCATCCAAAAGAACTTCAGGAGTTAGCATTTCAGGTGGAAGATGAAGAAGGAAATCCAATATCTCTGAACTTCCCGGACATTTTTTTAAGATGTGATCTCTCGTGCAATCCATAATTGCTAGACCCACGCGGAAAAATAATTTAACTCCTTGTAGAAAAAATAATATATTGGAAATGAGCAAGAATTTCAAGTAGGTAAGATGAAAACAAATTTTAATTCTAACCTTCGTAGTAAAATATATCCCAAATTCTCAAGACGGATGCCCAAGGCAAAGCCATGGTGAAGATTGTCATGAACCAGTGGGTCATGTACATCAGTGGTACAATATCGTTGTCAGCCTAAATTTTAAAAAGCATTGATTGGCGTGAAAAACTAATTAAAATTACTTAGGATTAGGAGACGAATAACTTACCAAATGTTGTGCCAATTTAGGGTCGTGCTCAGTCAATAGTTGTTCGAATACCTCTGCGTCTATACGTAATTGAGATAAAGTGGGTGTAAAGTAACCATTCATGTATTCTTCAATCGTGGCTACAAGTAACCAAAATGTGTCCTCAGCTGGCATTTGCATCAACATCATGCCAACTAAGCGACCCATTCCTTGGCAATAACCGACCGCTGGGTTATAATGGGCATAAGCTCTCAGAACATCGTGAAGGTCTGATTGACTATTAATTAAGGGTCGTTGATAAGAATGATTCTTTGTGTTTTTCATACTAGAAAATAAATCCTACCCTGAGCTATTCCCTTCACGGAATTGAATATGGTCTGGATAACATCGATGAATATCTCTTTCAATTACATCATATATAGGAAGTTTCTCACGTTTTCGAAGAACCTAAAGCGAAAAAGAAAAGCCTGATGGATTATTAGACATGAAATGGCCAAAGTTACTTATATAAGCACCTTGATTGTGATTACCCACTTCGTAAACATTGGGCTTTCTAAATTTGTCAGCGCCAGCCATAAATTGCCAAGCTTTACCGCGAACCGATTCGGGAATACCTTGACGAACTAATTTCTTAATCTTGTAACGAAAATAAAAATGCCAGATTAACTAAATTTTTTGTTGTACGTATTAATAAAATCAAATTAATAAATAATTCGGCTCAATCAAAGGTGATGTGACCCGAGATTGAATGAGACTGGTGAAGAAAACCAATCAATTCACAAACAATAAAAAATAATAAACAAGAATATATAGATACCCTTCGGGATTTTCTCGCAGTTGCAGTATCCATGGTTGTTATTATATTCAACCATTTAATTTCGTGTTCACGATAAAGTCGGATGTTACGTGAATTCATTTCTGAATAACCTGGCGCTTGACTATATAATAAGAATTGACTTTTCAGAATAAGAGCATAATGAAAATCAAGAATTAATTCATCCAACACGTACACTCTTTGAATCCTATCAGCCCCTTCCGGAACATCGCCATCGGAAACATCGACTACAAATCCGAAATTGTCAACTGCTATAATTTTCTCCTTTTTATGATGAGTCGTCTCATCTTCTCTACCCTGTGATATCAATGGCTCCGAATGTACAGTTGTCAATTCATTATCCGCCTCATCGTCTGTTGTATTATCATAGCTTCCATTCGAGCTCAATTGTTCCGATTGAGGAGTTATGTTTACTTGATTTACTACAATACGCGGAATATTTTGATTATTCGGCGTTGATGTTTGAATAACATTACGCTTAATTCTACTTGAAGAGTAAGCAATTAGAGTTTCTTCTTCGTCATCATCATCATCATCACTACTGTCATTGCTGCTAACACGTGTAGCAGATGATGGAATGGGCGATTGTGAAGAATATGATCTATGCGGGGGAGGTGATATTGGCGAAGAAGAGCGAGAAACTGATCTAAGTGGAGGAGGTGATATTGGCGAAGAAGAGCGAGAATCTGTTGGAGATTGATCTGATTTCCAATGATTACTGTAATTCCCGGGTGGTGGAAAAGAGGTATCGTGTCGTATTGGTTGAGAAGGATTAGGAGATGGTGACCTCGAATTGGGCGGTGATTGTTCGAATGTTCGATCTTCAATATGTGCATTCTTAAGTGAATTTTGATTTAGCATCGTTGCTGAGTCCATTGTAGGGCGTGTTGGCGTCTCCGGTTGTATTACAAAAGTTGGTACATTAGTTTGAGGATGTACTATCGGATTTGATGTATTTTGAGCCATGTGATTTGTTTGTATATTATTGTTGCTGTTAATAATGTGAGTGGATGGAGGTGAAATTGGTGTTGTACTTCCACTTTGAGGAGTAATTGGAGAATTCTGGGTAGATCCTGGCGGAGAGCGTCTAGCTACTGATATATTCGTTCGACTTGTGTTAACTCCCATCGGACTGTGATAACTTTTGGTATTATCTGTTTTATCCCGATTCTGATTAGATGGCGTCAATTTAGTCTCAATGGATAAACCTTTATTATATGATTCTGGTGACGTATTTTGTCGACGTGGAGTTATTTGATTTTGACGTGGTTGTTCAGGAGCAATAAATTTTAATGGTGTAGAATTTTGTCGACGTGGTCCTCCTGATGATATTGTATTTGATAATGTATTTTCTTGGCCAGGTGATATTAAAAGCTCAGCTTTGTTATTATTAACATTAATATTGTTATTACTCTCATTGATACTATTATTACTGCTGCTACTACTATTACTATTATTATTACTATTACTATTACTATTACTATTACTATTACTATCACTATTACTATTAATAATAATAATATTATTATTATTAATCTTAATGTTATTATTATTACTATTATTATTACTACTATTATTATTTGCTATTGACGGTGATTTTGATATTTCTTTTTTCAAAAGTTTCGTGAAGTTGACCTTATTTCCTGTGAAATGACCTATGACACCTTCGCAATAGCCCTATACACACATGCGACAAAATAAATAACTGAAAATACACTTGAAAATCATAAAAAATATTCATAAGACTCACAAGATAAAGATCTTTTTCAATATGTTTTAATACTGTGATTTTATCACCTAATAAATAATATAGTAAAGTCAAATTTTCGATGAACAATTCCATGTAAAGAATACTTATAATTGCTTACCTTCAAAGAACATCAAATCATCTTCAGTATTGGCTAGTGTGTCTTGATTTGCTATACCGACGCCTATACCACCTATTATTATTTTGGTAGTGGATATTTATGAGTATTGGAATTTATCTTTTTCCAGCAAAACAACTTAGCATATGACATCTCAAAACTTAAGTATATTATTTGTCTCGTTAATTACCTTTTTCCGCGAATTTCTGAAGTTTCTCGAGTTCTATAGGATCCTTGGTCAACATTCTTTTCTTGAATATTAATGGTTCTTTGAAATTTAAGTGACAATTTTTTCGTATTGTTATATGAAATATATGAAACAGATTAATGGAAAATGGACGATAAATACGGCTAACGTTAAAAAAAGAAATAATATACAAAAATTGTCCGTTTAATTATAAGTATCCAATTAAATAATTAAATAAGGGTTGAGCGCAAACTAGGACGTGTGATTAACGAACAAAGTAGGCTTGCATCAAGAGTTAACTATAAGATAAAAAGGGAAAAGTTTCAGAGAAACAGATGTAAAGTCAAAGATTCGGAATTTCAGCAAGACTATTGAAATATAAGGTTGAAGAGAAAATTCAATGCCAAGGTATGCAACAACTTCGAGGGAATTCGGTGCGCGGTAGAAGTTGAATCAACAACTCGACCGTCAAGAAAAGTGAAAGAGGGTATGGATAAAAAAAGAAATAATGATTGTTAACACATTTATTGATGTTTTTTTATCTCCTATCAAAATTAGCATTAAAAGCTAGTCACATTGTTCTAATTCATCCAATCAGCGAATAATACATTCATTGTATTATGCGTATGAGTCAGAGTCATGCTAAAATTTAGAGATAGGTAGTACGAGTACGTCACTTTTTTTTCATGTCAAGAATTTTTTTTTAGTTTGTTTATTATTTATTTATATGTATTTATTTACAAGAAAAATCACAAAAATAAAAACATCCATGAAAAATTGATTGGGTTATTCTATTTCAAAATTTATCACCAAACCGAAGTTCCAGCAACGGACAACTTATTTTCTGTGGCGTCCATGATAAACGACGATTTTGAATTATTTTCCGTAGCGAAATAAACTTGTGGAAATAGTTTTTGTGCATCATTAGCTAAAAAGTATGACAAGTTTCTAGAAAGTTCTTCAAAACTTGATACTTGCTGCTGCTGCTGCTGCTGTGATTGTTGAGCATTGCCAGGTAAGTTTTGAAGATGATTACTACTCAAAAGTGGCGACGGGGATGTTATTGACATAAAAGACGAAGACGAGGAGGGAGTGGGAATGGATAAAGATGACGCTGATGATGATGATGACGACGACGAATTAGTTTGAAATTCGGTAATTAGAAAAGGAGTATTTGGCAGAGATTGTGATTGTTCCTTCGGAATATAAAGATCCTCATGTGGAATTTGAGTATCCAAATCAGTGCGAGCACGTAAATCTTGTTCCAAATGATCACGATGCTCCAAATAAATATTGATTACGGAATCACGTTCTTCCTCTCCGCTCAATAAAACACCTTTTCGTTTCTGATAATTGTTTTCTCGAGAAGTAGGCCATGTTTTACGGCGAGTTGTTCTTGGGGAAACAATTAAAACATTGGCATCGGCACCATCTGAATTGGTGTTTATTACGGTGATTGATGGTCGAGGCGATGACGTATTTTGTGATGTGGCTTTCTCATTGTGATTGTTCGATTTGAGAGCACGATCTTTTAAGTTTGACAAATAATTCACCAAACCTCCACCACCAGCAGTTGTTGTCTGCGATGAGGAGTTTGTTCTTTTATGTGCTTGGTGATTAGAAGATGGTATAGCAGTGATAGTAGTATTAATCGAACGCGTCTCAATCAATGATTCACTTGCTGATTTGAAATGTGAATGACTCATTATAATATTGTCAGGTGAATCAAATAAGGAGGTAGATGTTGATTTAGTATCAAGGAGAGTAAATTCGGTTGATTTTGGTGATCGAGTTTCTTTTTTTAGTTGTTGATGTATTTTAGTTGTTAATATTTTATGATCTAGTTTTTGCCGGTGGTGGTGGTGGTGGTCGTCGTCGTCTCCGCCTTTTTGCTGTAATGGATGATAATCTGTTGCCATCATTTTTTATATTTTTTTTTTGAATGTTATTATTACAATAGAATTTTTAATTAATATGCAAGCTAAAAAAGAATAAGGAGCGGTTTAAGGTTTCAATCGGTCGGTTATTGCGCGCGGCTCTTTCTCAATGCCTGTCTGCAAGTATGTAATATGTATATTACAATGTTTGCACTAATAGATAGCTTTATTTGGAAAAGATAAAATATTTATGCGGATTTTTTATTATTGTAATTTGTTTATTTTGGAGTAGAACCAATAATTAATGATATAAGGGATAATAATAGAAAATTATATATCGATATAAAAAATTAAGCCTTGTCTTCCATATCGTAAGACAGAAATCCTCCACTCTCCCTCCTTATATACACGTTTTTTCTACCCTATTTGTGATTTTTTTACCACACATCACAATTTAATGATTTTTTCATTAAGTTAGCCTTTTTTTCCCCCGAACCCAATTTCAACAAAGATTGTCCTATTCATGTGTAAAAAAAAATTACTAGGAATGAAATAAATATAGTTCCTGTTTCAGGTTACCATTACCAAGCCCATAAGAGAGAGAGCCATTTTTGAGAGAAATTCACACACGTAACAATGCACATATATACAGCGGATGATCAATGAAAAAGGAATCTCCCAGCCCCACTATCCCCTTTTTATGTTTGTTTGTGTTAACGTTAATAGATATCGTCAATAAATTGTTTTTTGTAGCAAATCTTTTTTTCTTTTCTATCACGATAGCTCTTCTTCCCGTGAAAGATACGATAAAAAGTCTAGTTTCCAGAGGCATGTTAACATTTTCTTTTGCTCAAACTTTTTTTTCAAGAAACCTTTTTCTATATATAATCTGTATAATAATAATAATAATAATATTCAACAATCATCATCAAACGTCTTTCGTTTACATTTAAAATAATAAAATAATACGCTTGATTCTTGTTTTTATTTAACGCCTCCTCGTTATTAAATTCTTACTTGCGAAATAAGAACAATAATAATAATGTATGTTTTTGTGGGAAAGGCATACCGATAACGATAATTGGTTTTTTTTTGTTTTTTTATAGATTAATCAAATATTTATCTGGCAAGGACAATGTCCTATCGTTATATTTTCTTGTTGAGATGAAGGAAATTTATTACATTCATCTCTCTTGAAGAATTTGTCGGATGTTAAAAAATCACTTCATATACAAAAAGTATTGTTTACGCTGCATTATTGCACTATTGCATTAAAAAAAACGCGAATTATTCGAACTTGAAAAGGCTCTTAATGTGCTACGTCACACACGTGAGAATACGCAGCTGTAACCTCATCGAGAGACGATTTATCACATGTTTACCCGATTTTTCAATAATACAATAGAAAATAAATGAACTTTGACTATTTTATTACACGAGCATCCCTTCCGAACAGAGTAGTCGCACATAAGCGTTCGATAGTAGCCTACTTCCGTTTTGAAAGCAATAAACATTTCTCCTCTCCTTGTCATATATATATCATTTATATATAGCCTTGCAATTTTTCCTTTATCTAATAACAACTGTACAGACTTTTCTAATACTAATGTCCTCGGTTAACCACTCAAACTCGAAGAGACCCCCCATCAATGGCATCTCTATCTCCGTACTCCGAGAAAATGGTTTACGCCGTGACCAACCAACCACCCCTACAACTCCAACAACGCCAACAACGCCGACAAGACAAACATCTTCCCCGGCACGCAAGAAAGGTGTAAAAGACTTTGAATTTGGTAGAACCCTTGGTGAAGGATCTTATTCAACTGTAGGCATCAACTTATTTGCCTTATCGCTGAGAGAATTTTTTAATTTGAGTTAAAGGCATAAATGCGAAAGTGTCTCTTCATCTGTTGACCTTCAGGTTGTAGCCGCCAGGGACCGTGCAACACAACGAGAATATGCCATTAAAATACTGGACAAGAAACATATAATCAAAGAGAAGAAGGTTAAATATGTAAATATAGAGAAAAATACTTTAAATAAAATGAATCATCCAGGAATAATTCGTCTATACTACACCTTTCAAGATAAGGATAGTCTATGTACGTATTAAGTTATTTCGATGCCATCCATTTTTCGTATTCTCTTTGATATTTATTAACATCAACCTAATGCAGATTTTGTGCTGGATCATGCAAAAAACGGCGAATTATTGACATTCATAAAGAAGGTACTTTGAAAACCTCCCCCCCCCCCTTTTCTTTTTATGATTCAAAGATCTCCCCTTTTTCAAAATAACATTTCAAATTTTTATCTCTTAAAGCTCGGATCTTTTGATCTTAATTGTACGCGATTTTACGCAGCACAAATATTATCAGCAATAGAATACATGCATAATCAAGGAGTCATTCATAGGTAAACGCTATTATGTATCTTAAGGATGAATTAAAATTATCATACAATCTTACAAACTTTTTGAATCTTCTTTAATTGAAGAGATTTAAAACCGGAAAAGTAAGTTTACGACGCTACGAAAAATCAATTAACATGCGAATAGTAGAATTGCATTGAACATATGGATACTCATAAACTAATGCTGATCTCTCAAATAGTATTCTATTGGATGAGAAAATGCACATCAAAGTAACAGATTTTGGAACAGCTAAGATTTTAGAGCAAAACAGTGATGGAAAAGAAGGTTGGTGCGCAAATTATGTTACGTCATTGTTCTTCTCGACACTCATTCTCGTAATTTGTTTCTATTGTTAGACGATCGAGCAAATTCGTTCGTGGGGACAGCTGAATATGTTAGTCCAGAATTACTTAAGGAAAAAGCCGCTTGTAAAAGGTACATGAGACCTTTATCTCTCTATCTCTCTCCCCTCCCCTAAATATATCTTATTGATTTAATCTAATCGATATTATAACAAAATCACTATAGTTCAGATTTTTGGGCTCTAGGTTGTATTGTATATCAATTAATTGCAGGTCGACCTCCATTCAAAGGATCCAATGAATTTATAACTTTCCAAAAAATTATAAATCTGGATTACACCTTCCCTGAAGGATTTCCCACCGTAGCCAGAGATCTTGTTGAAAAGTTATTGGTAAGATATATATATATATTTGCTTGTTTGTTTGTTTGTTTTTTGAAGACATTTAATATCAAATTATTATTATTATCATTAGGTAATTAACCCATCTGAACGACTTGGGGCTGGTGGCCGAACTGGAATTGCTAAACTAAAAGCACACGCGTTTTTCGATGATATAAATTGGGATAGTTTATGGCAACAACCTCCGCCTCGGTTGTTGCCATATTTACCACCAAATCCAAATCACAATAAAGAGGAACTTCGAACTCCTTCTACCATGTATCTGCAAAAGCTTTCTACAAATAGTAGTGGCGAGAATACTACTAGTACTGGACTTAAACAACGTGATCCTTTTCGACTTGAGAGTTGGGCTAGTGGAGTGGATGGACCAACAGAAAAAGTGGATCCAGTAAAAGCGCAAAAACTAGAAGAACAAAAACGAACTTCCTCGCAATGGTAAAGTAATCAATAAAAATATATGTAACAAAATTTCTCTATATAAAAAATTACTTTTCCTATTCCTTCCCCCCTTTTTTTTCGATGGTCGGATAAGCTTTTGCTTGACCTTTTTGTTTTGGCTTCATGACAATCATTGTCATGAAAAACCATTATCACCTTCCTCACCGATAAAAACTATTCTATCAAGGATTCCGTTTCTATTTAAATCTGAACTAATTCTTCGCGCCGGTCCTATCAACAAACGCAAAGGGTTTTTCACCAAACGGCGTCTATTGATATTGACGGACTTGCCGAGGTTAATTTACTTTGATCAAGAGAAAATGTCGCAAAAGGGTGAGATATATTGGAGTTCAAGAATGGTCGTGGAATTAAAGAACAAGAAAAACTTCTTTATACATACGGTATTTATTGATAATTTCAAATCCATATCATGTGATCGTTTATTTTTGATTGTAAACATTTTGCTTATATGATTAATTATTTATTAGCCACGGAAAACTTTTTATTTTGAAGATCCTAATGCGACAGCTCATGAATGGGTAACCAAGATCAATGAACTATTAGTGGAACATTATGGAGACATGTTTTAAAGGGAATTTATAAAACATGTAATGAAGGCGAAGGAGGAGGAGGAGGAGGATGATGAATTAAGGAACATTGTGACTTTCTTTATTTTCTTTTATTTAATTTATATCGCTATAATAATAGTTTAATTTCTTTTGAATGAGTGTCATCAAATTCATTTTTATTTATTTATATATATATATATATATATATATATATATATATAAAAATATATATAATGAAAGGGTGCATCATTCAATTTTTTTATTAGTTTTTGGAATCTGATGGAGAAATTTGGTGACAGTCTTTTCTTTATTTTAGAATTTTATTTATTGGGTTTCTTTGCTTGGACAAAATTTATCGTTGCCATTTTTATTTTGCTTGCAATCAGTTCAATGCTTTTCACACTCTTCTTTTTTTTGTACCAATATAATCATAGAATATTCCTTTTTGTCTTTATATTGAAAATCTAACTATCATTCATTCATTCTTTTTATATAATTGTGCGAGCGTTTGTTTTTACCTCCCTTCTGTTGCATACATACATATACATATATACATACATACATTCACACACACACACACACACACACACACACACACACATAAAATTAATCAGACATTCATTCTTTGTGTACAAACTTAATTTAAATCGACTAATCAACACATATAAGCGTTAGAAAATATATTTATTTATTTGTTTTCATTGAAATTTGTATTAACAAAATGAGTGAAATGTTTTATTGTTTAAATAATTTCTTTCTTGTTCGAACTTTGACATATAAGTTTTGTTTTCTTACCTTTCTCAAAAAAATTCACAATCAAAAATCACACTTGTCTAAGTGATTGAATGATTAAATTGATCAAAACCTAACTACCATATAAAAGCTTTCAAAGAATCACAAATAAAAAAAAAGCTGCATAAACATTCAAGTATGAATTCATTTGACAAATTTGATCACAAGGTTTTCCCTCCTAGTGTTAGTAAAAGATGTTCGCCACGTAGACTGAGTATGTTTAGCTGTCAAATTTACCTTGAAAAATAGAACGTCCGATTGACGAAATCATTTTTTGCAAGGCATTAATAAGATTACATGTCAATCCCATTAAATCACGAGAATTGGGATTATCTTGACAATATCCTCGTAAAATATTTTCACTTTTGTTCTTTTTAAGTTTGAAATGACGAGGGTGATACAAATCCTTTTCCTTTTATTTGCACATCAAAACCTTAAATCACACAACAAAAGGGTTAGCATTACGTAACGCAATGATGAATAATGTACATTATTTTATACAAAATGCTGTGCACACAGATTCTTTTTATCTTTTAAAAGATGCGAGTCGTTCGAGGTTTGTGTATGACCTTCTCTGCATGCATGTTCGTGTTTTTATATTTATCCTAAATCGTCCAAAAAAATCACTACTTTTTCTGTTCACTACACTTCAACATAGAGCTAGACGCTTAGTTGAAAATAGTAGTGATAGATAATAGTTATAATAGATATAGAAAAAAAGCCACCGCTTTTCCTTAGTCGCTGAAGTTTTTATCATATGTATTATATCCGATATCCAGTAATTTATATTCAGAAAAAAATATTAATAAAACGAAACCATTGAGAGAAAGCGTCTGTTCATTCCTGAAAAAGGAAAACAAGTTAATAAAAAATAAGAAGAGTAAGAAGAGCCTATATTAATTAATCTATTCTTGCTTCGATTCTTGACTGCTTTTGACAAGATAGTCAGGCTTTATACTTATTCGTTCTTTTCTTATAATCTCGCCTTGCCAAAAGTATATAGTAGGGTGGATAGAATATATTCAGCTAGAAAATAAAATAAAATAAAATAAAAGCAAATAAATTATGGCAAAGTCGGCACCAGTTGAAACAGTATATGCATTACATACGTTTGAAGCGGAAAACCCAGACGAGGTTCCCTTTGAAGCAGGAGAACCGATAATTGTTCTGGAAAAGGATGATATGTTTGGGGATGGCTGGTGGCAGGCAATTATTTATTCCTTCATCATGTTCTTGTCAAGCGTATTAATTTTTTTTTAAATGATAATAAGTCGATAATCTGTTCACACACATAGGGACAAAATGTTCATGGACAAATAGGACTTTTTCCGAGAAATTATACTAGTTATGAGAGACCAGCATCAGCATATTTTCTCTCGCGCCCTACCACCATGACGTCGTACACCGAGCAAAGTAATGATTATCAAAATTCACAATCTCGATCAGGTGCAGGAATGCTACGTGCTTATAGTCCTGCAAATACTATCAGTACTATAAGCACTCTTACCACTATCACTAATGGTCAAGGCAATACAGTAGTGTCACGACCTGCCTCACACGTTACCACCCCACCATCACCGACACCGTCTTCCGATATACTTCCTCATAATAATGACGATTCTGGTGGATTGATTCCTCAGTCTGATACCTTAAATAACAATGAATATTTGAATGCTCAACACCATTCAACAAAAAATCACACTAATGTTAATGAAATAGAAGATAATACTAATGTCGTTATTCATAATGACAATGATGTTCTTAACAATAACGAGGATGATGATGAATACAACAGTAACATTATTAATAATAATGAGACGATTGGGAACGATGAATTACTAGATGTCAATAATAGACCTCCGAGTGAAATTCGACCTCCAAGTCATGTGGTTTCTAATAATGCAATCAACGATATCGAAGGAAGATTAAAGAATATGGTATTACGACAGGAATCGAAATATCAAAAATCAGCGCAGCAAGAAAATGATATATCTAATTATCAAGAAGATGAACAATTGCAGCAACAATTAGAACCTTCACAGCAACAACAAGAACAAGAGCTTCAACAACAACCAATTGGACATTTTAATAATAAATCATCAACATCATTATCATCAATTGGCAACAACATTCCTAATAATGTCTTATCCATTAGTCGTACTAATAGTGGTGGCAGTAATAAAAGTAATGGTACCGGCAGTATTCTTAGTAGTAAGAGTAACAGTCCTCGAATTGGTCCTGAGAATCTTCGACCCAGCTCTATTGATGCGACCAACAATACTGCTAATGCGATTCACAATAATAATGATGATACCACTATTGCTAATAATAATGCAATTGATCTTAATTCTACTGCTAATGATGATAATCAAGTTCAAAATCAACAACAAATTAACAATGATGAAGCTCAACAATCATCCCCATTACTGCAAAACCAACAGCAACAAGTAAAGGAACAAACTACAGATGATCAACCAAGTGAGACTGAGTTTAACAGAAAGATGAGTGCGACATCGGTTCTGTCATCATCATCGTCAAATTATGATGTCAAATCTAATCCCAGAACATCAGTAATTGGCGACGAGGTTAAATCTGATCCTAGAGCGTCATTGATGAGTAATCATCCATCAAACTGGGATGTAGAAAAAGTTTGTGGTTGGTTACAAGAGAAAGGTTTCAACTCTTTAGTACATCAATTCATTGGTAAGTTGATTTATGCAAAGTATAATCATTAAAATATTAGCCATAACCTATTATTCATTAACAAAAATATTATTTACGTATAATTTAGAAAATGACATCACTGGTGATGTCCTCTTAGAGCTTTCTTTAGTCACATTAAAAGAACTAAACATTATGTCTTTTGGTAAAAGGGTCAAGATAATGAATGCAATCGCTGAATTAAAAGTTCAATATAATATAGTTGATGAACCAGATCCGCGGAAAGATCCTATGGAAGAGGTAAAGTTTATTCACATTTAGAGATTGGAGTCGGATTTATTTTAATATTTTAAAACCGGTTTAAATCCGGAATTACCAATAAGAAATCCGGTTCTGAACTCTAATTCATATCTATTTATTTCAAGTGTTCATTTGTCAATTTATTTATGTTTCAATTATTAGTCTCGATCTCTCCTATCTAATCGTCGTATGGATTCATCAACAGCAGCCAATTCTAATACACCGATTATTCATAAAACAAGTACGATGTACGCTCAAAGTAACACAAACAATAAAAAAAATAGTGATCATAATAGTAACAATTTTATGGGCTTTCCTTCTCGCCATTCAGTCGCTGTTGCTGGAAGCCATAGTAGCAATAATGGTTTTCATAATCAAAAAATGAAAAACCAATTACAACAACAGCAAGAAAGATTTCAACAAGAGCAAGAACGGAGAGCTCAAGAAGAAATAAGACGATATCATCATCATCATCAGCAGCAGCAGCAGCAGCAGCAGCAAGATGGAGGGGAAGATGGTTCAATACCACGTCCACCTTCTCCACGTGCTTTAACAAATAGTTTGTATAATGCTCCTGTTTATCTAAATAAATCTCACAGTACAAGCACAGTATTCTCGGATCATCCCGAGTATAATATGAAAAAAACTACGTATAGTATTATACCAGAAATGCCACTTCCCGAGGAAGAAGATTCAAGAGATAGAGCTGATGTCAGCAGTATATATACGGTAAATAAAATTAAATACTTTTTATTATATTCATGTCATCGCTCACTCATTCTTTAATATATGAAGAATGGTCCTAATGGAAATAATAAAGCACGCACTAGAATGTTCTCACGTCTTGGTTATTTTAAACAAAATGGCCATAATAAAACATTATCAATGGGATCCTCTTCCCCTCAACATGCGCGTTCACCATCAACACGTGGATGGGATTTCTTATTAGCAGAAGAGGAGGATGCGATTAAAGAGTTGGAAAGAATCGAAAGAGAAATGGAATCTCAAAGACGTGAATCACGTGAATCACATTTAAAGAATAAATCATCTAACAATTCTCGTGCACTTGTCAAAGTTGAGAATTCGAGAAAAAAATTTCACACGTCTGCTCCTGTTCCACCAAAGAAAAATACCGTGGTAAATCCAATTCAATTATGCTTTTTAATCGAAATCTAATTACAACAACAATTGATTTTTTTTTATTATAATTATTCACGTAATTAGGAACGAAACAGTATTCTGATAGATGCCAAACGGTCTATGGACTTGTATGTATTTAAATCGAATATTATATTCTTCAATTATATGAAATACTCGCAAACTCAATAAATATTTCAACTTTAAACAGCGGAAGTTCTGAATTACGTCCTGCACCACCAGTTCCTAACAGGATGACACGTTCCTTCAGCGCTGATGGAACAGATGATGAAATCTTAGCATCTATCGGTGTCCCGGATCACGAAGGATGGTTGAAAAAACAAGGAGAAAAATACAAGACGTGGAAAACACGATTCTGTATTTTGAAGGGTGTTTATCTCTTTTACTTAAAGAGTGATAAAATAGGTTCTTTGGTAAGTCGCTGTAGACTTTCGTTTTACATTATTTTTGCTCTGAATTTTTGTCTAATTGTTTTTTAAATTTTAAAAGGGATCCCGAGATCCGAGAATAAAAGGACGCATAAATCTCTCTGGTTACAAAATTATACCAGATGAAAATATTTATCCCGGAAAATATGGATTCCGTGCGGTTCATGAGACCGAACGAATGTATCTTTTTGCTCATGATGACGCAGATAAAACAAAAGAATGGATGAAAGCAATGATGAAGGCAACGATTACTAGGGATATGACTGGTATTTGATAATATTTATTTAATTAGAGAATTTCAATATATTCTTATTAATAATGCATTTTATTATCAATTAGCTCCTGTAATATCATCATGCAATATTCAAACAGTGCCATTACCTGTGGCTCAAAAAATGAATCCACGACCATCATTTACACGTCCTTCATCAGTCAGCTCAGAGTATCAAAATAATGCAGCACGCAATAATTTATCATCACCGCTTCCACCACATCCGCCTTTTCCACGTAGCATGTCAACAGCAAGTAGTCGCAGTCAATTAATACAACAATCACAAGTGCCACATCCTTCTCATCAACCATTGACAGCATTGATATATCAATCATCAAATGTTAATGCGCCTCCAATTGCTGCCACTGATGCTAGTATTGACGGATCAATAATGTCTTCATCTTCGTCACTTCATATGCAGCCACCACCGCCACATCCCATACATTCACGTGGAACAAGTGTAATTTGAATTTGATTTCACTTTTTCAAATATATACATAACACATTTTAGTGATGATAATAGTGATGATGGTATTGGTGGTGGTGATGGTTCGGTTAGCGTGTAAATGAGAATAACTTGTCTGGAACTCAAATCTCACTCCATCGAACATCATGATCACATATAAATGATGGATTCTTGGATACAGACGTCAATATTACGCGATTTTTTATAATGAAATGAAATTTATTTATTCACTACTTTATTATTATTATTTTTATTAAATCTTTCATTAGACACATTTGTTTTTAAATTAGCATACACAAACTATATATATATATATATATATATATTTGTACCCGTAATTATATTAATTCATATATTTATATTATGTACAAAAATAACTTAAAAAAAAACGACGGACAAATTATAATTTGTTCTGTAATAAAAGAAGCACAAATTCTTTGATTGTTATGTCATGTTGTATTGTAATTGTCATACACAATGACTCTCAATATAACAGATGGTGAAAATCCGTAAAAGCTCTACAACGGCGCGATATACACCGGATTCAGTTTATATTTAATTCATATTAATAATGCCCGGTATATATCGATCTTAGCAAATCCGATCCGGCAAGTAGGCACCCCTAAATCTAACCCTTCTTCCGGGAAAAAATAAAGTCACGTGTTTATAATACTGTTATACCTTTATAAGTAGATTATCGGTACATTCACGTGATTGCGAAATTTATTAAACTTGCCTCTTATTTTTTAAAATTGATTTTTAGGTGCTAAATATAGGTATGCTCTAATCTTAGTGTACTAATAAAATGAATTCTTACTATGCCAGCAAAAATGGTGGTGATTTTTATCATAGGTTATTCTTATTTCCGGAAGAATTGCCGCAGAAAATCTAGATCATGTTTACTTGTCGTTGTGCGTAAGGCACAGCTAACTTGAGGTTATGCTATTATAGAAAACAGCTATTGTAATACCACGACAAATTGCTTATATTTAACCTTTACGTATGTTTATTGTTTATTCGCACTTTTTTTTTCGATTAATATTAAACTAGCAACTAAACGAAATCATTACTCAAATTATTTGTTATTATTATTAGCATTAATGTTAGCATTTTAATTCTTCAATGCAATTCATTTGATATTAATTCGGCTGCACGCGATGGAGTCAATGCAGCTTTAATAGGGAAAAAAATTTATTATATTGGTGGAAGAACAGAATCTCCTATAAACGCCAATGCATTTCTATTAGATTTATCATCAGACTTTACTGCAACTAATCCAAATTTTATTCAAGTTTCTGGACTTGAAAATATGCCATCACCTGTTTGGACTGCTGCTTGTTTGGGAAAAGATAATACTATTTATATATTCGGTGGAACTAATGCTTCACAATCGGTAAATTTTTAAATTACTTTTTTTTAATACAATCAAAGATAAAATATCGATATTTATAATTATCGTTATATTCTAAAGTCTTTACCAAAAGTAAACACATTATACACAATAAGGTTATCCGATGACACTTACCTTAATTGGACACCATCTTCACCTAATCAAGGAGACACGTGGCCAAGTGCACGAGATGGAATAGTTCCAATTATTGATAATTTTTCGAGAATTTTCGTATGGGGTGGACGTAATGAAGGTCAAGATAATACAACAACGTATATATTTGAATCGAATAGTTGGAAAAGCTATAATTTAGCAAATACACCGAACCCAAGATCATCTTATTCGGCTACATTATTAAATGATGGTCGAATTATTTATATCGGTGGACTTAGTAGGAATCCATACCCAGATGTTAATTTTTTAGAGGTAATGCGAGTTAAATATCATTTTATTTTTAAGAACTATTCTAATTCGTTTATTAATTAATTAATTAATTAATTATTCAGATATTAATATTTGATACCACAAAACTTGAATGGAATAGTCAAGTAAGTTATAATGTCCTAGTTATATGTTTATACGTAGATTTATTAAATTTTATTTTATTTAGATATCCACAAGTAACAGACCAATAAAAAATCGAGCTTTCCATTCAGCATTACTTCGTAATAAAGTTTCCAAATTTTATCTATATAAAAGCATTAGTATAAATAAAAATGACTAATACGATTTTCTTTTGAAATAATGAAGACCCAGATTCCATTTCTATTATTATGTATGGAGGACTTTACTATCCTACCGAAGAAATACCCGATTCTGACTCGGTATGGATATTGAATACCAAAACTTGGACGTGGTCCCAGCCATCAGTTACTAGCTTACCTTACCTTATTGTGACAAGAGGTCACACTGCAATTATGTATGATGGATATATGATTATAGCTTTTGGTAAATTTATATTATTATATCCTTTATTCCTTCATATTTTTTTCTCTCGTTCATTTTAAATTTTATTTGCAGGAGTATATGGAAATTATTCTTATACATCTCAAGTAAAAATCATGGATGTGATGAATTTAAGTTCATTGGCTTGGGTTCCCACTTACAAATTTAGAACAAACACAACCATTCCTACCAATTCAACAAGTACAATCAATACAGTTACTTCAACTGAAACTATTGAGGACCCAAACAAAATAAAAAATAATCTTGGGGTAATTCTTGGTGCCGTAATCGGTAGTAGTGTTGCTACAATTGCTTTTGTTGCTGTTTTGATAATTTTTATACGTCGAAAACGTGTACCCAGTCAACCAGGAATTCCAACCAAAGTTCAGGATCCAGGTTTTAGTCAATATAACTTGCTTGGTCAACAAACAGCTACGTATCCTCAACAATCTAATTCGAACTTGCCATATAACACTAATCCAAATCTGCCAGCAAATCAATATCCTCCAAATCTGCCAGCAAATCAATATCCTTCAAATTTAGCGGAAATTCCAAATCCGCCAGCAAATCAATATTCAAATTTAGCAGAAATTAATCCAAATCCAACAGCAAACCAATATTTATATTCAGGTCCTAGGTGAAATCGAGATTCCTCAACATTCTTGTGACACAAATAAACGTCAAGCAAATAATACAGAAGTTGAATTTATTATATGGATTTACTTTTTCTACATGTTCAGTGTTATATATGTGTGTTTATTATGATACAATTCGTATCAAGTCTAGTTAGATGATTTTTTTGAAGAAAGAAAATAATCATTATCAGATAATCTTTTTAGTTAATAATTGAATCAGCCTGATTGTGTGAAAAGTTAGTATATATATGAATTATATAAAAATGATAAAAATCACAAATTACATATAATTTAATTATTTATAAAATAAAAATTCAAAATATAAAATTTATTTTTGAAAAATTACTTTTATTTTGAATTTTATTTATATTATATTTTAATAAAAAATATTTTTTACAGAATTTTATATATATAGTAATTATATAATATAATTTTAATAATGATTTTCAATTCTAATTCTAATTATAACCAAAATATTATTTATATTATATTATAATTTAATATTAATTTTATTAAATCAAAATTTAAATTTCAAATTTTCAGTATATTAAATTAAAATAAAAATATGAAAATAGAATTATATTTCTAATATTTTTAATTAATAATTTAAGATTAATTTATATTATAATACTTTTTTATTTTTTTAAGTTAAATTTAACTTGTTAAAAATTTGAAATTTATTAATTTTAATTTAATATTATTATAAACTTTTAATAAGAATATAAATAGTTATTAATATTAAAAAAATTATAAAATTTAATTATATTTATATATTAATAATATTATATAATTATTTTAATATTTAATTAAATAATATAAAAAAAGATATATTATAAGAATAATATATAATAAAAAGTTTAAAATAAATATTATTTTTGAAAAATAATTTATATTTTAAAATTTTATATATAATTACTTTTATATTTAATAAAATATTTCTTGTAAAATTATATTATTTATAATACAATAAGTATTTTTATAATATAAAAAAGAAAATTAAGCTAATTTATAAATAAGAATATTTATTAAAATTATTTTAAAAAATATTAAAATTCAAAAATTATATTAGATTATATATTAATATTTAATTAATAATTTAATATTTAATAAATTTGTCATATTATTAAAAAGTATTATAATAATAAAAATATATTATATAGTATTTTAATTTTAATATTATATTATCTATTAAAATTTATAAATTTTAATAAGTATTTTTATTATAAATTTAATTAATTTATAGTTTAATTTTAAGTCAAATTATGTTTAAACTTTTATATATTAATTTAATTTCAAATATTGAATATAAATATTTTAAAAATTTATAAAAAAAATAAAATTTATAATTTTAAGTAAAATTATATAAAAAATTAAATTTATTAATAAAATTTTAATTTTAATAATATTTTTTTATGAAATTCAAAAATTAAAATTCAAGTTAACTTAAGCTAATTAAATTAGCTAGCTAATTTTTTAAGCTTTTAAATTAATTTAAGCTAACTTATAAAAAGCTTTTATTTTTAATTATAATTAATAATAATTCAAAAATTCAAAAAGAAATATTTAATTATATTATTTTAATTAGAAAATAAAAATTAATTTAAAAATATTTTATAATAAAATTTATAAAAAAATTATTTTTTAAAAATAAATATTTATTTTAAATTTTTTATAAATTATTATTTTTATAATTTAATTATTTTTTTTAAAAAAAATATATATATTATTATCATTTTAAGTTTATATATATACAAATAATTTAAAATAATAATAGTAATTGTATTTAAAGATGGTGCAGCAAGTATGTGACACTTATTTATTACCTGTTACAACATGTTGCAATACTAAAATTTTATAAGTTGTAACTAGGTGATGCTTTATTTATCACCACATTGCAACAGTTGAGGAGCCATCTTTAATTGTATTTATAGTAATTATTTATTTTTTAATTTTGAAGAATTTATAATAATTGATTATCTTCTTAATAAGATAATTTATATAAGTTTCACTTTTAATAAAATACTCTCTTAATAAAATAAAAGAAAATAAAAATAAGATATATAATAAATATATATATTTATTATAAGAAAATACTAATTAACTATTCTTAACTTAGTAATTAACTACTTTTATCAAACTTAATTATTCTTTTTGATTACTTCTTAATTCTTTATATATAATATTTTCTTGTTATACTAATTATAAATTATTTTTAATATAATATTTTATCTAATTTACCTAAAAATAAATAAAATCTTAAAAGAATTATTATTAAGAACTTTTTTAAATTAAATATAAAGTAATTAAAAATTAAAATTAGCAAAATATTAAAGAAAAAAACTAATAATAACTAATTAGAAAATTATTAATCTAATAAAATAATAAATTAAATATAATATATATGACTAAATTAATAAATAAATAAAACTAAATATAAATAATAAAATAAAATTATAAATAAATTAAATTAATTATTATTAATTTCTTGTATATTTAATTTAGAAATAATTATTAACTATATTATATATTATGTATTATACTATTTATAATAATTAATTAGTTACAAAACTCTTAACTTTAAGAGATTTACTCTATAAATCTTTAATTATTATTAATTATAATAACTAGCTTTAGATTATTAAACTTAATATATAACTTTTTGTTTTTCAAGATTTTTTTATTTATACTTTGGAATTTATAAGTATTTTTATTATAAGCTTCATGAATATAAAATGAATCTTTTTATTTTTTATCAAATTTATTATAATATTAATGTTAAGTTTCTATTTATTTCATTAATACTTTCTGTCCTATTTAAAAAACTATTGACTTTTATTTTTTATTATATTATTTTTTTGTCTAGATTATTCTTTTTGAATATTATTAAGAGTTAATTCTCATATAATTTCAAGTTTCTTGATTATTTTTTTGATGAGAACTTTTTTAAAAATTAGATTATTAAAATCTTTTAATTTATATCTAATAATATAATTATCAGTTAATTATATATCAGTTGAAAGAGTTCAAATAAAATTATTTTATTATTTTATAAATGAATAATATTAATAAAAGATAATAGTTCTAATCTTTTTTATAAAGCTAAATATATTTTAATAATAAAGTAAATAAAGTTTAATTTAGTTTTTCTATTAGCTTATTTATTTGAAAGTGATAAAAAATAAATAGTTTATTATTACAAACTATACTCTAAAAGATAGATTTTATCATGAATATAGTTTATAATAAGTTTTGAGAGCAAAGACTGAATTATTTATAAAGGTAAAGAGGATTACTATTATTCTAAAGGTTTTCTAATGCTAATACTTACGAATATTATATCAATACAAGGCAAAAACAAAATAGAATAAAATTATAAAATGAAGTTGTGATCATGAGTACTAAACTAAGAGATAATATTAAAAATTAAGTAATCAATGCTTAAAACAATTGTAATAAATGCAAACTAGATTAAGATAACCAATACCAAATAAATCAAGGATAACAAATGCCAAACAAAGCTTTTGTAACTAAACCTTTTCCAAATAGAGATAACAAATGCCAAATCTAAGCTTTTGCATATAGGAAAGCTATCAAGAATCTTTTTAATCAAAATATAATCTATTATGA